CAAGGACTCCTCTATCTGAGCAGCAGCAGAAAAAGACAACTGACCATAACCCCCATTTGCCATCCCCCTGCACTGCTTGGGGGGAGCAGGGAGAACATGGAAGGAGGGGTGGGGGGAAGGTGTTTTATTTCTCACTCTTTGGCTCTTATGCTGTCAGTAATAAATTTAAGTACTATCCCCACTCTGAGTCTGTTTTGCCCGTGAAGGTGATCAGTCACTGAGCAGGGAAGGCATCACTCCACCTGCTCCTCAGGGCAGGCACCTTGCCCAAAAAGGATCCTGCTACTTTAGGAAAAGAACAACCCCCAGGGCACCAGAGAGGGAAACGAACCTGTAAGGCTGCCCAGGGGGCAGGGAGGAGGTGAAACACGATCCCTGTGATCCTCAATCTTGCAGCCAAGCAATTTCTCCCAGCCTTGGCACAGCACAAGGAATTACAGTGATGTAGCACCCTGTTTGCTCCAGGTGAATTGTTATATGGATGTAGGTAACCTGTCAGCACGTTCATACACCAGATGCCAGTTTAAAGGGCTGTCCACAGGCACCTTCACATGCTGTTCACTGGAGTTCCCTGGGAATTACTGCTGGCAGCTCAGGCTGGGGCACCAAGTGCAAATTTTGCCGGGGGATGTCACAGAGACGTGGAAGCGCAGGGATGTCCCACCTGCATGGGTCCAGCAACTTCCTCCTATCCTGGGATCTCTGGAGCTTGGCCATGTGGGTGAGGGCTCAGGGTTGGAAGAGCAAGGCAGTAGGAACTCAATTTGTTAGACCCCAGCTTTTAAAGGCCCTTGGATTCAGAGCTGTTACCTGGCCAAGGCATGGCCATTTGGGTGGGGAAAGTCCCCCAGGAGTTCTGTCCCCTTATCTGCAGAAGGATCACAGACCTCTGTGCAGTGAGCAATCCCTGAGTGCAAAGGGCAACAAACCACTCAGGTCTGAGCTGCAGAGGTAGCAAGAAGGCTGTGGCCTCCCTGCTAAATGCATGGTGACCTGGTGGATGGGGCTAAAAGGTGGTACAGCCAGGCCTGGCTCCCCTCCTTCGCTGATCCTCCCTGCCTGAGCTGTGCTCTCCTCTCTCTGCAGCATCTATAAATATCCTTCCCATCTCTGTGACAGCTCAGTGTGGGACCACAGCTGAGGGATGTGGCAAGAGACTCACCAAGGAGCCCAGGCAGCAGCGTTCAGCAAGGAGGGGGAGGCACAGGGTAGACCCTGACCAGCTCAGACCAGGAAGAACTGACTGGGAGCATGGGGAGGGATTCAGGTGAGCAGAGGGGCCAGGCATCCTGGCATGATGCCCTCCATGCTGCTCTTTCCTGGCCTCTTTGGGGTTCCTGGGATGCCTTGTGGCTGCACGTGGATCCTGGTATGGAAGGGATCTGCACCCCCACACCCTTCAGTGCCCACTGTGTGTGCACCACATCACAGTGCACAGCTCACACCGCCCCACCACCCCTCTGCACCCCATTAAACCACATCATCCCCTCTTCCCAGAGCTGACAGTGTATCTGAGAGACCTTCCATTCCCTGGGGTGGATTTGGGGCAAGCCATTCTGGAGTCACTATGTCCTGCAAAGCCGCTTTATGCTCCGTGACGGTGCTCAACCAGCGCAGCTCCTGGGGGGTGCTGGGTCACAGCACAGCCAAAAGCTGTGGGGAGGTTCATTATCTGGTAGCTCTTGGCACCTTTGCAAGACTGGAGGACCCACATTCCAGTGACACAGGAGGCTGGGATGGCATTAAGGGACTGGAGAGCCCGTGTGGGCAGCTGGGATGTGTTGAAGGTCTGCAGGGGTAATGCCTTGCTTTGGAGCGTGGCACTGGGAGCACTGCAGGGCCAAAACTGGCTTCTGCCTCCCCAGAGCATGGGCCTGAGATCACAGAGTCATAGAACTGCTGGTGTTGAAAGGGACCTAAAGACCATCTCATTCCAAACATCACCCAACAGACCAGGATGCTCCAAGCCCTGTCCAACCTGGCCTTGGACACTCCCAGGGATGGGGCAGCCACAGCTTATCTGGGTAACCTATGCCAGGGCCTCACCACCCTCACAAGGAAGAATTTCTTCCCAATAGCCCATCTAACCCTGCCCTCTAGCAGTGGGAAGCTATTTTCCTTTGTCCTGTGACTCCAGGCCCTTGCAAAGTCCCTCTTCAGCTCTCTTGGAGCCCCTTTAGGCACTGGAAGGGACTCTAAGGTCCCCCCAGAGCCTTCTCTTCTTCAGGCTGAACACCTCCAGCTCTCCCAGCCTCTGTAGCAGAGAGGCTTCAGCCTTGGAGCATCTTTGTGGCCCCCTCTGGACTTGCTCCAGCAGCTCCACATCCTTCTAATGCTGTGTCCCCAGAGCTGGAGGCAGGTGGAGTCTCATAAGAGCCAAGCAGAAGATGGTGGCAGTGGGAATGCTGTCCCTCTGGCATGCCTGGCTCTGCTTGGGCACTGGGAACAGAGGGCTGCAGAATCCAGCACTGAGCTGTGACTCCAGCAGAAGGAGATGTCCAGGTCAGAGTAGCAATGTGATAGCTGGTAGAAAATCTGCTCTCCCCACCTGCTGCAAGGGGTGCAACTACTGAATCATCATCTGGGGCTTCCTGGTGGCTTGGCACGATCTGGGAGACCATCAGCCCTAACCCCTTTGGCCCAAGGTCTACTGCAAAGACCACTGTGTAGCTGCACTCCCCAGCCCCACAGCACAGCTCAGCCTCTGCCAGCTGCCTTGGGAATGTCTGGCGTCCTCCCGAGCCACAGCTGTGTCCCTGCTCTGCAATCCCATCCCATGATACCGCTGATGACAGGATCTCTCCAGCGCTGTCTCCGGACAGACAGCTTCCCAGGCAGGCAGGGTAAAAATCCTGCAGGGACCTGAGGCCCTGTGCTGTTCCCAGGTCCTGGTGATGAGTGGTGCAGACGTGTCCCTGCAGGCACAGTCCTCATCCGTTCTGAATGAGGAATTGTTGCCACCACGTGCTGCGAGTTGGGCGGGGAGCCCCTCTCGCTCCAGCACGTAGGAAGCTGCTGGTGGTGCCACGGGGTGCCCTGGCATGGGGTGCAGCATCTCCAGGGAACACACTGGCATACAGGGGGGAGTTCCCTGACCCCACTGAGCAAGCCTGAGGTGAGTTTTATCCAAGGGATGGCCCGACAGAGAGACAAGAGACGGAGATGCCCATCCTGCCCCACGTGCCTCATCCTGGGGTGCGTTCCTGGGGCAGGGGAGAGCTGCAACCTCACATCGGTCCCCCCAGCCACGAGCACACAGAGGAAGGGGCAGATAGCCCCCTGCACATGGCATAGGTGGGAGTCAGCATCTGTGGTTACCACAGGCAGGTATTAGTGATTGTTCAGCATTTAGATGGGGAAGCAGTCGTGGCCGCTGTAGGGGGCCTGTTGACAGATGTCGAGTGTTTAATGCTGAGCAAGGCACTCACCTGGCTCGGCAGTTCTGGTGGCTTCAAGCAGAAGGGATGCAGAGGCTGTGGGAAGGGTGCCCTATGCTCCCCAGGAAGCCCAGACCCCCTGTCACAGGGCATCCTTGCCCACTGCCTGGCCTTTTATGTGCCTGGCACGACTGCTTTGTCCTCCGAAACTGCTTTGGAAAGGGTTGACCCTCTCTGAGGTGGCCAACGTGGCTGTAAACAGGGTGTTGTCAATCCTGGCCCTGCACTCTGCTCCCACTGCCCCAAGTCAAGGGCAAGCAGAGAGTGTCTATCCCAGAACGATGTGGCATAGAAAGCATCGAGGTGGGGGGGTGTCCTGCCTGCCTTCCACCAGACATGCGAGGGGAGCACTTACAAGGGGTTTTCCTCTCCGTGCACACCGGGACGGACGGGTAACCCCGTCCCCTTCACACCTGACCCCGGACCGAGCCAAGAGCTCCCTCTTGCACGGGCTGCAAGTTTGTGTCTCTCCGCAGCCGGCCGAGAGCAGCGAGGAGGGATGGGCGGCAAGGGAAAGCAGCGGGGCCCGCCGGGGCACTGCGAGGGCGGGAGGATGGGTGAAAGTGGGGAGCCGGGAGCCCGAGTCGGATGCTGGGTCTGGGTACAGCGTGCGCGTGTGGCGCGGGAAGGGGGGCTCGCTGCAGAGCCCACCCAGCCCATTGGCTTGCGAGCGGTGACGGGCAGGCTGCTCCCTCCCTGCTCGCCCGCCTGTGTGGTGGCTGCGAGCAATGTGCGCAAAGTGCCTTTGCATTAGCCGGTGAGTGCCGGGGCTCTGGACAGAGGCAGCTCGCTCGCAGAGGTGCCGGCACGACAGAGGTGGCCCTGTCCCGCGCCTGGTGGCCCCCGCCGGACCATGGCATGGGCACAGGGGTGTCTGACATCCTCGCTCTCCATCGTCATCACGTTGGCTGCCTGCCTCTCTGCCACCACCAGCGAAGGTAGGAACCGGGGTGGCCCTGGAGCGACGGGGCAGTGTTGGGGGGGGGGACCCTCGAGATCGCTGCGGCTGTTTGAATGTGTCCGCACGGGCTTAGCCCTGCCGGGTTTGGCTTCTCCGTGCTCCCGAGGGAACGCAGCTCCAGGTTCGTGCCTGGCTGAGTTTGCTGATCCTGGAGCTTTTGCACCAGAGGCAAAACTTTGGAGCTGGGCAGGAGGACCTGATTCTGCAGCAATGCCGGCAGCGTTGCCTCGCCCCCCCTGCCAGGGCTCTGCTGCAGCACGCAGGGGTGGCTGCAGAAGGCACAGGGACACCGGCACCAGCTCAGCCGTGGCGATCGCCGCCACCGGAGCTGGCAGCAGGGCCGTGCATGTTGGCCAAGCAGCGTGGAATGGGATGGAGCGAGTGGGTGGGCACGGGAAGGTGTGCAGAGGATGCGGGGAGCTGGAAAGGGCACTCAGGTGAGAAACTTCTCGTGAGAGAAAGGGCTGGAAACTTCCGAAGTGGAAAGCAGGGACGCAGCCGGGGATCCTCTCCCGACATCTTGGTGTCAGCCACATCAGGCCTTCTCCCCTCCACCCAGCTGCTCTGCCCTGCTGCTGGCTGCCCTCATCCCTGGCCTTTGTCCGCATCCCTATTCTGGTGTCTCAGGCCCCCCTCAGCTTCAGCAGTGCTGCTCCTGCTCCTGCCACCCACCCGCTCTCCTGCCTCCCTCCACACTGGCTGCTTCCCGGGTCTGCTGATCTTCATCACCAGAGATCTGCTCGTTCCCGCTCCCGAGCGTGTCCTTGGCACTGGCAGCAGCATCCTTCCTCCCTTCTGCTGTGCCTGAGAGCCACGGCACAGCCCTCTGCAGTGAGCCCTGGGGCTGGTGTGCCTACTCCGTGCTGCCAGTGGCACCTCTCCCTTACCCTGCCCCGGCATCCCCGCCGTCCTTCTGGGCATGCTGAGGCCCAGGGGCTGGCACTGCTGTGCCTTGTGCTCTTTGTGGTGCCCCGCTGGGCTGGCTCCTTGTGCTTACTGCCTTCTTCCAGAGCACACCAGCTCCTTCCTCACTTCTGTTCCCCATTTCCAGCTATTTGCTGGTCCTAACCCTGTTTTCTGCCCACTGCCCACTTCCTGGCCCTCTTCCTGCTCCTTTCCCCATCGGCTTTCCTGCCTGAGCAGGGAGATTGCGTTGGGGTCTCACCGCTGGACACGGGCTGTGAGGGTGCAGGATGGGGCCCCAGCACCCTGACAACTCCAACCCTTGCTTGGTTTCTGCTCTGTGGTGCAGGATGGTGCCCCGTGCCCCAAGCCCTGGGCAGAGAGTGGTGTAGGATGCTGCCCTGGGAGCTGCAGCCCCACAAAACCAAACAGCCCTGCCTGGACTTAGCAGACCTTGGGCATGGACAAAACAGGCCGGGGCCTCTTTGCTGTCCTCTGCGGAGGAGACCGCTGGCTGCTGGGGTGGGTTTTATGCTGTCTGCATCGACAGCCAGGGCCTGGACTATCTTCCCAGATGGGAAAAACCCGGGCTTCCCACAAGACTTGGAAAAGAAAGCTTTCCCCAATAACAGCCTTGGCCAAGGGACGCACGGGGCTGGGGATGAGCTGGCTCTGGGGCAGACCAAGCAGGCTGGATCTGGGTTAGACTGGGCTGAAGGTGCTGGAAAAATTGTGGCACCCTCCCAGAAAGCTGTTTGTTGGTGCTCCGTCCTCCACCCTTTGCCCACGAAGATGCTCCTGGCTCTGTGGATGCTGCAGATCCCGCGCCGTGGGACGGGGCAGCCCAGCGCCAGCCGGGCCCCGTGGAGCTGGGGATGAGGCTGCGGGCTCCTGCCACTCCCAGGTCGAGCGCCCTGGCACAGGGGATGGGGCTGGAAAGGTGGGGAGATGCTGCAAAGCACAGCCCAGCCCTGAGCTCTCCTACACTCCGGCTGTGCCAGGCTTGGCCGCCCCGTTCCCACCGCACATGGTGATTGCGGGCACGGTGTGAGGGCGTAGCCGTGGCACAAGGGTGCCCCTCTGCCCGTCACTCTGCCTGATCCCACAGCCTCTCCGGGCCCTGCATCCCTGGCCGTGCTCCCCGGAAAACCCAGCGCTGGTCTGAGAACCGCAGGGTAGAAAATGACAGCCGCCAAGCGGATTTCAGGCTGGGCGTGCCCGCGCTTCGCCTGCGCGTGTTGGGAGGCAATTTGTGCATAAAAACACGTATTAACCCCAAAAAACCGCCTCAAGCCTGTGTTTTTTCCTCTTCCAAGAACTCCCAGTGCCTTTCCCTTTCCTGTTCCAAGAAGTTTTAAGCTCATATTATTTTATTGCTTTCAGTCTTGCCTGCTTTGGGTGCCCAAGAAAGGGAAAAGGGAATCACCATTCCATGGGAAATCCCCCATTTCGGCATGGCAGCCATTGCAAAATGCATCGAAAGCCAAAAATCAGTTTATTTTTTTGGTTTTTTTTTTTGTTTTTTTTTTATAGGTTAGTGAAAATTTGCAGGATGTGGAAGATTTTTATTTGGAGCACTGCAAAAAAAAAAAAAAGATTTGTCTGAAATTGTTAAATTTCTTTAGAGCAGGGAAGTATAAAAGTTATTTTCAATAATACGAAGGTAGTGTGAGAGACTAAAATATTTACACCATTGCATACTGAGTTGCACAGGTGAAAATATTAAACTGGATGTTTTACATGATACCACAAATTGAAGTTAAATAATAAAATATGAAATATCTTTGTTGCATTGAAAGAAAATCAGACGAGCAGAAATTACCACATTTGGAGCTTGGGCAGGGGGTAACAAATCCATATTTTCTGCCAAAAAATGGCACATAAACGCTGCTGCTGGGGTCTGCTCCCTCCGAGGGGATGCCCGTGAGGCAGATAACCTTCCTCCCCATCACAGGGCAGACCCCATGGCCTGCGGGTGAGCTTGGGTGGGACTGCCATGGGGACTTGGTGCAGCAGGAAACGGGGATGTGGGGACATCTCCCCCAGCATTTTGGGGCATGTAGGTCCAGCTGAGGTGAGCAGCGGGTGACAGGGATGGGGTGATGTACAGGGGGGGATGACAAGGGGATGCTTGGCTTCTTCTTCTCGCACCACGGGCTTGGGGATGGAGGTGTTTTGTTCTTCCACTCAACAGGGATGGGGTGTGGGAGAGTACCGGCATCCTCAGGAAAACCCGGCCGCTTGCCGCGCTGCCGAAACGGGGGCCAGAGGAAGGGTCTGTGGCGGCCTCCCCCACTAATCTCTCTTCGTAATCTCATTAATTGCCCCTCTGCTCAAACAGAAAAAACTCATCTGCACATTTATTCAGGGCTACTTTCCTACCCCTCTGCGGCAAAGCTGAAGTCGGGGCTGCGGGAGAAGCAAAAGCGCTGAAAGGGAGAGGAAATCGCCTTTTCCGTGTTCAAAAGGCTGTGGGGATGCCTGTTCCTCTGTAAGAATAGGAAACAAGAGAGTTTAGGCACACAGACTTTTGGTGATGGGAGGTGGAGAAGCATTAGTTCAAAACAGCGAATCGATTCGGGCTATGTTTGTGAAAAAAAAAAAATTTTGGGGGTGTTTTATTATTTTTTTTTTATTTCTCCAAAAATGCTGGCATAAAGCCAATATTTGCACGATTTTAGGTAGGCTCACGGGGATATGTTTCTGGTGTTATCTTCATTTCCATCTTTCTTGTATTAACAGCTTACAAAATTTCTGAAAATCGACCCCCCAGATTTGCGGAAAAAAAATAACACAACAGCGCACAAAACACACCTGCTCTGCGAGGTTTTCCGTTCTCCTTGAATTCTTGTTTCCTGAAATCGCGAGGGGTTTGTTTCCAGTGACAGTAAATAGGCACCCATTTTGGTGACGGTGAAAATGGATCTGATGAAGCCAAATTTAAGTGCAACTGAAAACCCACTGAATTGCTACGGGGAGGAAAGAATTCCCTATTTATTTTTTTTTTTTTGTTCCCACTTGCTGAGAAATGATTAGAAGAATATTTTACCCAAAAGAAAAGCAAACCCCAGCCCGAAGAGATGCTCGGGGAGGGAAGGAGGGAGGGAGGGAGGGATGGAAGGAGAGAGGCTCATCCCACACACCCTGCCTGGGTTGGGGAGAGGGTCCTGGCGGGCAAGTGTGGGTTTCACTGAGACATCCCGACAACTCCGCTCTTTGTTCCGGCCGGGTCCCGTGTTCCGCCCGTCCTCGCAGGCAGCCTTTGGTGCTGCCTTTATCTCCAGGGGAACATCCATTCATATGATAACTCTATTCATACCCTGACAGTTTTTGATAGTTCGTTCTCCTAACCCAGCCCGTTTGCCTGGCCGGCGCTCAAAATGATTCCTCTGTCGCAGGGAAGGGATTAACCCCTTCGGCCCTGATGGTGCAAAAGTGAGTGGTGGGATCAGCCGGGCGTTATTTCCTTCAAAATTAAACACCACCACCACCACCACCCCCCCCCATGTTTTGCCCGCTCCAATGTGTGGCGCTTGGGATCATAAATAACAACATAAGATGGAACTCCTTAATTGATCAGATCCAGGCAGGCCAGTAAAGCCTAATGAAGTGTGTTTGGCCCAGGGACCGAGTCCAGAAAAGTCTTCACCTTTTGTCTAAAGACGTCGGCAAAAGCAGACCCAGCCCTGCCTTTAATAACCCCTTCCAAGGGCTCATCAGCCCCAGCCTTTAAAGACTGGCCCCCTCATTCCCTAACACAAATTTGCCTGGTTTCACCTTCCAGCCATTTGTTCTTGTTAGGCTTTTCCTGCAGGATTAAAGAGCCCGTATTTTTCAGCTGTGAAAGTGCTCTGAGCGCACCTGGGCGCCTCGCAGCCCTCGTGGGCACGAGCAGATTGGGCTCTGCAGGTCCCCTTCTGGGATATTTTTTTACCTCCAGCCCTGGTATCATGGTTGTGCCTGTGGTGTTTTATGCTCTGTCTCCAGTTTCTCATATTTAAAATGCTCATTTAACCGCATCAGTCAGTGGCAACAAGCGCTGGCTGCAGCTGGATCGGCCAGCTCGGTCCCAGC